GTCCACAGCTCAACCGGGCGCTCTGCCGGCCCGGCCCAGCCACGCAGCACCTTAGGGTGCCCCTGCGGGTCCTCCTGGGTGCAGCACTGGTGCAGACCCTGGCAGGGGCAAGCTGGGGTGGGCACTTGCCGACCCCTGGCGTTCAAGGCCGGGCGCTGGCTCCTCACCTCCCGCAGCGTAATTAGGGCAGGATAAATGCGGATTAGCGTTAAATCTGTCATCTCCACGGGCACATTTGCAGAGGCTGAGGGGAAGCAGCCTAAGGCAGGCCCCTCCTGATGTATGTCACCACAACCATGCAAGCCTCATTAGCTAACGAGCAGCTTGCTGCCCCAACCCACCATGGGGCACTGATGTCCAGTCCATCCATCCCTGCATCCCTCCCTGCATCCAGCCCTGCATCCATCCATCTATCCCTGCATCCATCCCTGCATCCATCCCTGCACTCATCCATCCCTGCATCCATCCATCTATCCCTGCATCCATCCCTGCATCCCTCCCTGCATCCATCCTTGCATCCATCCCTGCACCCATCCATCCATCCATCCTTGCATCCCTCCCTGCATCCATCCCTGCATCCCAGCAGGTGCCCCAGCCAGCCACCCTGGCTGCACCACTGCTGACACCCCAGCACCCCCAGCACCGGTGCCCAGCATCCCCCAGCACCTCTTGTTTCTGATCTAGCCCGTAAGAACCGTGCAGCGCCGGGCCCTTCCTGTTGCCACAGCAACTCGGCAGCACAGCCGAAACGGTGCTGCTTGGCCTTATGCGAGCAGAGCTGGCACCTCCAGACCTGGGCCAGGGAAGCACTGAGGCCCTGCCAGAGGGAAACTGAGGCAGACAGACCCCAAAACCGTGGGATGCCAGGACCCAGCCATGCTAAAAATACCCTCCTGCGAGTGGTGGTGGAGCCACGCAGGTGTGAGGCGCCGGCAGAGATGGACAGCTTGGCTGATGTGAGCTGACGTGGCCCCGGGCTCCAGGGTGGTTTAATGAGCAGCCAAGGAGGTTTTATTTAAAGTCAGGCCCGGCTGCCGGACCCGCGTGGGCCGGGGCACGGAGCTGCTCATGGCCATGGGGCTGGGCAGGTTTCGGCATCCCTTGCCTGTCCACCCAGCCCCGAATGCTGCCCTCACCCCCCAGGCTGGGCTCTAGCCGTATACCCAGCATCTTTCCTCTTTCCCAGGGTCTTGTTTTAGGAAGTTTTTGCCCCAAAATTTGCACCACGGGGGGATTCCGGCGTGGTGAGCATGGAGGGTCAGTGGCCAGGGCAGCCACGCCAGCACCGGTGTGGAGGTGCCTTCTTGTGGCCGGCATGGGAACAGTGGGTGCACCCCAGGTGTGGGGACCCGAGGCAGGGAGACCCCTCCCCTCTCCATGGAGGGGGACAGGGCATGGCCCCCCCAAAACACAGCCCCAGCCGGATTAAAAAATAACATTAGGTTTTAATAAGTGATTTGACCAGCCAAGGGGCTGGAAACCCTATGGGACCACCCCACAGCACCCGCTGGGACTGAGCTGGGACCCGATGGCACCCAGCCACTGTGGGGCTGAGCTTGGGGCCCCATGGCAACCAGCTGCCGTGGGGCTGAGCCCTGGGCCCCACAACAGTCCCACCAGTGTGGGGCTGAGCCCCCAGCACCCTGCCAGCGTGGGACCAAGCCTGGGGAGCACCCAGCAGGGTCTGGGTCTGAGCTGTAGGAGAGCACTCCACAGCACCCAGGTGCCTCCCAGCACCCATCCTATAGGGAGGGTGCCCATAGCACCCACGCTGCGTCCCTCTCTGGGGGGCTGTGCACATGGTGTATGGGGGTCCAGGGATCCCCACAGTGCAGGGCACCCCCCATCAGCACACAGATCCTCTTCTTCCTCCTGCTCATCCTCTTCTTCCTCCTCCTCATTGTCCTGGTCCTCATCTTCGCTCTCTGGCAGCTGCCCCAGGGAGGTTGGGGGGAAGGGGGGCCCGCACTCCAGGTTGACGTAGGTGACGGCCAGGTTGACGTAGTGCTCACCCTCCAGCGTGGCCAGGACACGCT